CAATATTGTGAAAATGGCCATACTGCCTAAAGCAATTTACAGATTCAATGCTATCTCCCTCAAGCTACTTATGACCTTCTTCACAGAACTTGAAGAAAAACCACCTTAAACTTCATATGGAATCAAAAGAGAGCCTGCATAGTCAAGTCAATTCTAAGCAAAAAGAAAAAAGCTGGAGGCATCACACTACCTGACTTCAAACTATACTACAAGGCTAAAGTAATCAAAACAGCATGGTACTGGTACCAAAACAGAGATATAAACCAATGGAACAGAACAGAGGCCTCGAAGGCAACGCCACACATCCTCAACTATCTGATCATTGACAAAAACAAGCAACGGGGAAAGGATTCCCTGTTTAATAAATGGTGTTGGGAAACCTGGCTAGCCATGTGTAGAAAGCAGAAACTGGACCCATTCCTGACACCTTACACTAAAATTAACTCCAGATGGAATAAAGACTTAAACAGAAGACCTAATACGATAAAAACCCTAGAAGAAATTCCATTCAGGACAAAGGCATATGCAAGGACTTCATGACTAAAACACCAAAAGTATTGGCAACAAAAGCCAAAATAGACAAATGGGACCTAATCAAACTCCACAGCTTCTGCACAGCAAAAGAATCAGTCATTAGATTGAATTGGCAACCAACAGAATGGGAAAAAATTTTTGCAATCTACCCATCTTACAAAGGGCTAATACCCACAACCTACAAAGAACTAAAACAGATTTACAAGAAAAAAAACTAGCCCATTCCAAAGTAGGCAAAGGATATGAACAGACACTTTACAAAAGAAGACATCGATGATGCCAAGAAACATATGAAAAAATGCTCATCATCACTGGTCATTAGAGAGATGCAAATCAAAACCACATTGAGATACCATCTCACGCCAGTTAGAATGGTGATCGTTAAAAAATCTGGAGACAACAGATGCTGGAAATGATGTGGAGAAATAGAAACACTTTACACTGTTGGTGGGAGTGTAAATTAGTTCAACCATTTTGAAAGACAGTGTGGCGATTCCCCAAGGAACTAGAAATAGAAATTCCATTTGACCCAGCAATTCCATTACTGGGTATATATCCGAAGGATTATAAATCATTCTATTATATAGACACATGCACATGAATGTTCATTGCAGGACTGTTTACAATAGCAAAGACTTGGAACCAACCCAATTCCCCATCGATGGTAGACTGAAAAGGGAAAATATGGCACATATATACCATGAAATACTATGCAGCCAAAAACGATGAGTTCCTGTGCTTTGTAGGGACATGTATGAACCTGGAAACCATCATTCTCAGCAAACTGACATAAGAACAGAAAATCAAACACCACATATTCTCACTCATAGGTGGGTGCTGAACAATGAGAACACATGGACACAAGGAGGGGAGTATCACATACTGGGGTCTGTTGGGGCGAAAATGCGGGGAACAGCAGCAGGTGGGGAGTTGGGGAGGGATAACATGGCAGAAATGCCAGATATAGGTGAAGGGGAGAAAGGCAGCAAACCACATGCCATGTGTGTACCTATGCAACAATCTTACATGTTCTTCACATGTATGCCAAAACCTAAAATGCAATAAAAATATTTTTAAAAATCATTCTCTTATAAACAGACATGCACACATGTTTATTGTGGTACTGATTACAATAGCAGAGACTTGGAACCAACCCAAATGCCCATCAAAGATAGACTGGAAAAAGAAAATGTGGCACATACACACCAGGGAGTCGTATGCAGCCATAAAAAAGGATGAGTTCATGTCCTTTGCAGGGAAATGCATGAAGCTGGAAACTATCACTCTCAGCAAACTGACACAAGAAGAGAAAACCAAACACTGCATTTTCTCCCTCATAGGTGGGTGTTGAACAATGAAAACACATGGACACAGTGAGGGGAACATCACACATGGGGGCCTGTCAGGGGTTAGGGGGTGAGAGGATTGGGGAAGGATAAATAGGGATTGGGGAAGGAGAAATACCTAATGTAGATGACAGGGTGATAGATGCAGCAAACCACCATGCATGTTCTGCACAAGAATTTAAGTATAAAGAAAGTAAAAAATAAAAAAAATAATGAATTTAAGGTCTTAATATAATCCCTAAGGTAATGATTAATACATTAAAATACACATAAAAGAAATGATGGAATCAAAGGGGTATACTACAAAAAATCAAGTAATTACAAAAATGAAATGAAAAAATTGAGAAACAAAAATATATACAACAAAAAGTAACAAATGGATAAATGTTAAACAGTTCCTTTCTGAGAAGTACGAGAAACCTACTTTAGATGCCACAACACGAAGAGCCTAAAAGTAAAACAATAAAGATCGTCCATGAAAACAGTAACCAAAAGAGCATTTGGATGTCTCTTAATAATGAAATGGACAGAAAGTCAATGAGAAAATATTGGACTTGAATGATATAATAAACCAACTAGACCTAACAGATGTATACACAAACTATTCCTCCCAACCCAGAAGACACATTTATGTATTCAACATAGAACTGGAAGTTCTATGATAGAGCAAGAGTTACACAGAATATTCTTCAGTATATACTGTAAATTCAATTTTCAAGCAAACCTTAACAAATTTAAGGAGATTGAAATATTACAATCATCTGTTTTTCCTCTGAATACAAAGTAACTAGAAATTAGCAACAGAAAAAAACTGAAAAACTCATATGAAAATTAAATGACAAACTTTTAAATAAATGGATCAAAGAATAAAGCACAAGGGAAATTAGAAAATATCAGAAAATACCTTGTGATTAATGAAAGTAAAAGCACCACATATGAAATCATATGGAACATAGTAAAAGCAGTATTTAGAGATGCATTTTAACTGTCAACATCTGAACTTTTAAAAAGAAGAAAAATCTTAAATTTATAACCTAACTTCACATCTTAAAGAAAAAGAAAAAATTAGTATGAAGCATGGAAAATGACAATCTATCAAACAGATAATTGGTGTTCATGAAGTAGGAAGTGAACAATAAGGACAAAAATATGCAGTAATTTTTAATAATTAACTTTTTAAGAAATAAATTTGTTAATCACAGGGTATATCAGATCACAGTACAAGTTTAAAAAATATTAAAACCTTTGGTTAATAAAACACATTATTAAGAGAGTGAAATAATGACTCATTTGTACAATGAGATAACATACTGTGAAGTATGTATCTTGTAAAAGATTTATATCAAGACATTAAAAACCTGTAAGTCTACAACAAAAAAAACAAAACAACCCAATTAAGAAAAGGCAAAGAAGTTGACTAGGCATTTTGCTAAACATATGCACATGGATAATGAGCACATGGAAAGTTGTTCAAAACCGTTCATTATTAGGCCATCAGAAATCAAAATCACAATGACATGTCATGTCAGCATGTAAAATGATGCAGCTGCTATGGAAGACAGTTTGGTGATACCTTAAAATGTTAAACAGAATTACTATATGAGCTAGCAATTTAATTTAGTACCCACATGCTAATGTTTATAGCAGAATTATTCACAATAGCCAAAAGGAGGAAATAACCAAAGTGTGTCTATTATCAGATGAACTGATAAACAAAATGTGGCATGTGTTCATACTGTGGAATATAATTGAGCCATAAGAAAGAATGAAGTTCTGATACATGTCACAATAAGGATAAAGCTTTTAAATATCATGCAAAGTGAAATTAGCCAGACACAGAGTAAATGTTATTTGATACCTGTCATATAAAATATTTAGAAGAGGGACTACTTCCTATAGACAAAATTTACGTTAGAGTTTTTGGGGTTGAGTAACAAAAAATATAGGGAGTTGTTGCTGAATGACAGAGGTTCTGTTTGGAGTGATGAAAATTTTTGAAAATAGTGGTGATGGCTGCACAAAACTGTAAATGCAATTAATGCCACTGAATTGTCCACTTCAGAGGTTAAAATGGCAAATTTCATATTACATGTTTTACCATAATAAAAATGTAAAAAACATGAATTATAATTTAATTTTTATGTAGCAATTTTATTTGTAGAATTTTCTACAATCTTATTTTTTGTATATTTTTCTGATCTAAGATAGTGTAAATTTTTAAATTTTTCTTCAAATATAGTATTAAAAGATGGTGTGTAATATGGAATGAGATACCAAGACCATGAAAATGTTTTTGCTGATTTGAAGAAATAGACTCCTGGTTAAAATTGTCAAGAAAAATATCTGATTTTCTAACCAATTACTGATGTTTAAATGAGAGAGAACCCTGTATTAATGGGAATTTGTTGACTCTGAGATAAAGGAATCTTCCTCCACTGAGGGTTTATTAAAATTTATGTTAGTAATTCAGGCACCTTTGGGTATTTGAAAAAGTAAAGAAGATTTACTTGTATTTGGGATGTGTGTGTGTGTGTATATGTACCTATTTATTTTAAGTCCATCCTTGCACCATTTACATAGGGATATTATCTTCCTGTTGATAACTGAGTTTTAGAAATAGCACAGTTTATGTCTGTGTTTCGATGTAATTACATACCTCCATTGCATTCTCATACTGACTTTCCCACCACATACATCTCATTCTTATGTTTGATGAATATTGTTTTGGAGGCAGAGGCAGAACTAGAATGACTGGTATGCCAAGTATATTTGATTAATTATTGAATGTTTTAAATGTGTTACTTTGATTATAATAAATTATTTTTAAATTTCATTTTTAATATACATTTTATATAATTTTATTTTTCTAACACATTTATAATTTATATTTACTAAATAATTTATCACAATAATATATCAAGGTGGTAACATATAATTTAAATTTAACACTAAAAATTATATTACTTTCAAATGTTATGACCAGTTTCTTGGTTTCCACCAGTTATTACTAGTATAAATTATTAAATATTCTCAAGAACTTTGATGATGTCATTATATTTTACAGTAGGGATTATGGCTTTATCTCTTTACTTAATTTCCTTTAATTTTGCTTTGTATTACCTTCAAGCCACACAGGAATTCCTCAATCCTCCTTTCAATTGGATAGAGAGGATGCTTGTTTCTCACTGCAGTTTTTATCTGGAAAAAATATTACATATGTATTAATATACTATTTGTCAGGTTACATTGAGCCAAAAGCTGAAGGCATGCTTTACCAAATTTTTCTGATGGATCAATAACAAGGTAGGTAAGTTATCTTCTACATTTTTTCCATGTACTAAATATTGAGGGTGGCTCTATCCTCATACTCAAGCTGCTTTTCTACTTGCTAATATTGGATACTTCTTGCCAGGCTCTTCAAATTGTGCTATAACCTGGAAGAAACCTTCCTATTTTGCACAAACCCGGAATAGCCCTGATAATTTAAACCTCACCTAATTATTCTTTATCAGTTAGAAACTAGAGGGGTGGAGGATTGAGAGAGGAACACTATAAAATTCAAAACCAATGATGCACTGGTTGAAAAACCCTGACATGAATTGTGAGAGCAAAGAAACCACAGCTGGTTTTGCAGATGCAGTGCAGGTGGGCTTTGGCAGATGATATTGAACTGTATAAATTGTAGCTCTAATATTTTCTGGGCTATGGCTGATATTGTAGGTTCAGCTAAAGTAGTAAATTACTAGGACGCATCATTACTTTCCAATTAAGATTCACTTTAAAACAGGTAGATCTTCAATCTGAATTGTTTTTCAAATACAGCTTATGTCTACATGCTTTAAAGTGTGCACTAATACATATCAGTTATGCACAATTTGTGGAGCCATTAGTAATAAGATTTGTAGGAATGCTATAATTCCAAACTCTGAAAATAAAAGAATTGCACATTATTTGTACAGATACTCTGCCACCATGATAAATTCCTACTTTTAAAATGTCAGCTGCACAGAGTGACTTCATTTCGAAGAGCACTTTATGAAAACCAAAAACACAGAGTAATTATAAAGTTGAAACTCTGACAAATAATGTCTTAGCCAGGTGATCAAAGTTAATATCAACAGTGATAAGCCCTTCTGATAGTATGTAGTATTGATGTGAAAAGAATGTCTCTCTATCTCTGTGGCCTTCCTCCCTAAAATGCATATCCCCAGTTTTCTCAGGAGACAAGCATCAAGCAAAGCCCAAGTGAAGGACATAGTACAAAATACCCGATCACTACTTCTCTGAATTCTAAGGTGGTCAAAATCAAGGAAAATGTGAGTCACAGTCACAGCCAAGAAAAGCCTGTGGAGACCTGACTACTCATTACAACACTGTATCCTAACATCATGTTGGATCTCATGACATCCTTGAAAAGACTCTGGAAGATAAAAAAAATATTAAATACAATCTCAGGAAATTTGAATAAGTTCTGAAATGGATTTAATAACATATCAGTATGGGTTCAATAATTATTACAAGTATACATGAGACAGGGAAACAGCATGAAAGATATAGAAGCTCTTTGTACTATTTTCACAATTTTTCTGTAAGTAGAAAACTATTCTAAAAGAAAACTATTTTTAAAAAGCATTGTTATAGTATAAATGACACAAAACATGTGGATTCAGATTCAGCAGATGTGGGTTGGAGCCGGAAATCCTGCATTTCTAATAAGCTTACGGTGCTCGTTACGTTGCTGGTGCTGCTGTTGGCCTGGGTCTCATGTAGTGGCAGTCATAGAGTGGCCTCCAAGTCAGGAGAATGGATAAACTCTTCTTAGCCATGTTATTGATTCTTGTTCCCTAGCCAACCCAAAACACTACCTTAAACTTTCCATTTCCAGGAGAATGGGCATCATCTGGAACTTATTAGAACTGCAAGTCATTTCATGTCAGATCTATTGAATTAGAAAGTCTAGGACTGGGACCCAACAGTATATTTTGTAGCAAGCCCTCCAGAGGTGCTGATGCATGCAAATACCTAAGGAAAATCAATCTAAAATCCAGCACTAGTATGTTATTCTTTCCCTCTCTTTTGTTTGAGTGGGAGTAGAAGATAAGTTGGAGGTAGGGTTGTGTGAATGTGTGCAAGTTGAGTGGTTAATTCACTGAATAAATTGTTACACAAAATTTACCTCTTTATCTTGAGAGTGAATTTAATTCTAAAGAAATGGATTTATGTAATCTGTCCAAGGATGTTAGTCACTGCTTATGCAAGCTTTCCATGGCTGTTCAGTGACAGAAGGAAGGCTGATTTATATCCAACATTAAAGAGCATACATACTAATGTATCAATCATTTGTATCTCCCCAAAGAACTACAAATTATATTTTACAAATTAAAAATAAATTACTATGGATTCCTGATTCTAACTCAGTCATATAGAGATTTAAATGAATCTTTTTTATTGAATTTTTTCTTTAGTTACTAGATACATAAGAATTTTTGTAAATATATGGCATAATAGCTTTTAATTTCATTTTTGTTTTTCTTGTATGGATAACCTATTCTCTCTATTCTTATGTATTTTTGCTTAATATTATGTTTAATAATTCATGTTGATATGTCCACAAATATATTGGAATTTTATAAAAATTTCTTGTACAAGTAGGGCATGACTTTTCTGTTCTTCAGAGGATTGTTCTTTTTTAATTACAACTTATAAATATATTGTACAAGTCTACTTTTGTACAAGGGTGATGATTTCTATAGGGCATATAACCAGGAACAGAAATGCTGGACCAAAAGTTAATGACAATATTTTATTTTCCTAGATATTGCCCCAATTTTCTCTCAGTGCATATTTTAATTGATTTCTCACTTACCAGTTTTTGAGGTATCCTATTCCACATATTCACACATCTGATTTCATTCGACTATTTAATTTCAACCAATCACAGGGAATTGAGGTTACCACATACATTTCCAAAGCATATTAACTTGATATTATGAGGTGACTATATGTTCAAACATTTCCTGACTTTTCAACTTCTGATCTATCAATTATTTCATCATGTTGATTGTTGATTCTTCTTTCAGCATATATATATGAACTATATATATATGAACTATATATATATATGAACATTTATATTCTAACTCTTAATCTGCATGAATGTGTGCACTACAAATATATTGTGCAGTCTGTGTCATGTATTTTCAATTTTTGTGTTGTCTTTTGAGAAACAGGAGATTTTGTTTAACTTCATTACTTTTATAGTTCATACTTTTTTCCTCTTCCCTTACTCTTTTCTGTGTTTAGGTTGGCAATAAGACTTTTCCCATTTAGTTTTCAATTAGGTTTGTAAGGCAGAAGTAAAGCCATTAAGCTATGACTATTAGTCCAAATAAGTAGACACTTGCACATCTTGTAGTTTATCTGGGGACACACCTGATTGGTATAGAGCAAAAGTCAAAGGCTTTAGTTCAGTCCTCCACTGCTCATCAGATCTCCCACTTCAGCTTCCTGGGACAGGTGCACGTGTAGATAGATCCAGCTCGAGGAATATGTACTTCTCCTGCTGATCATCTGTCATATCAAAGGTAGAGACAGTGAGAAACAGATTTTAATTTGTCTTTATGTGTTCTGATATTACTCTTCTCACTTCACATATATCTTTCCTTCTTGACTATCAGCCACCATACAGTGACTCCAAGTCCACTACCAGACTTGAAGACAATCATCTTCCACAGACTTCTTCACTAGCACCAGTGTGGTGTTCTTGGTTAATGGTGTCTCTTATATTCTAATCAGTTCTTTTTAGCTCTTTAGCATCTTAGCTTTCCAAAAAACATGTAAGATTTACTCTCCAAAAGAAACTTTTCTTATCCATATTATTCACATTGATTATTGTTACCTAGCCCACCCAAAACACTACCTCTAACTTTCCAAGTAATGTGGCTTTACACACGTAGATTTTTAATACACAGATTATTATTCAATGTAGAATTTATATTTTTGCATGAAATAAGGCATTGAGACTTGGTTTTCTTTTAAGTTCTATAAGAAAACAATTGACCCAGCATCACAAGCAAATAGGTTATCAAATGGTAATATATCTATGTCTTTCTCTATTACTTTTCATTGTTAATTTATATGCCTGGAACTATTCTATGCTGTCTTAAACATTTTGTAATTTGTAATGATATGTATGTGAATATTCGATAGCATATATCATGCTACCTTATGCTCCTTCAAGAACATCTTTTTTCACATTCTGTTGCAATACATATATGTATACTTTTGACTTATGATACTAAGTCTTCCTACTACTATATATACATGTGACATGTAGCTCAGTTCATTTAGATCTTTGTGTGCTTGTATCTACATGATTTATTTATTTCTGTGTATAAAATAAATGTCATTTTTATTTTAAATGACATTTCATATTTTCTGTTTGATACATTTTTCTCTACCTTCAAAGAATAATTTAGCAAAGGTGTATCTTCCATTCAAATTCAAAATTTCCTTAAGGTGGTTGTTTAATGACCTATAATGTTGAATTGGTTAGAAAGTTAGAAATTTCAATTTAATTCTTACTCTAAGCTAAATTTAGTATATAATCATCCTCCATTTCTACAGCACATATGCTTGTTATATATCAGTTGACTCTGTTTTCTGGAATTCCAACTGGTGCAGAATTCAACCAGGCCAAGTTAACGTAAATGTTTACCCCCTTTTAACATCCCAATAATAAAAATGACATATAGACATCAACATTTTCCTGTTGAGACAGAGATGGTAACAAGCCAAGTCTCTTCTAACTATAAGAAGGATTTTACTCAGATTTTCCAACCAAAAATAGGTAATTGTATAGTAATAAAGAGGTCAATTCATAAAGAAGTTATCCAATTGTAAACACACACACACACACACACGCACACCAGTAACATCAGAACACCTAAAATATAAATATTAATAGAAAGGAGAGACAGGGTACAATACAATAATAGTAGGGGACTTCAGTACCCAGAGACAGATTTTCAGAGATAAGATAATGAGGGCACATCATATTTAAACTACGCTATAGAACAAATGGACATGATAAACAAATACAGAACATTCAATCAAGAGCAGAAGAATACAATTCTTCTCAAGCACACACAAAATATTCTCCAGGAGAAATCATAGGTAAGAAAATAAGTCTTAACAAATTCAAGAAGATTGAAATCATATCTAGTATTTTTTTAAACCACAATGTTACAAAACTAGAAATCAATAACAAAGAATTTTGGTGAATTCACAAATACATAAAAATTAAACAACATGCTCCTGAACAACCAATGCATCAATGAATAAATTAAAAGAGAAATTTAAAATATCTTAAAAGTAATGAAAATGGAAATACAACATACCAAAACTTATGGGATGCAGAAAAAGCAGTTCAAAGAGGGACATTTACAGCAATAAACACATAGCTCAGAGATTCCAAACCCAAATAGGTAATTATATAGTGATAAAGAAGTGAATTTGTCAAGAAGTTATTCAGTTCTACATATACATGCACCTAACACAGAACACCTAAAATATAAATGAAATATTAATAGAAAGGAGAGACAGAGTACAATTCAATAATAGTAGGGGACTTCAATACCCAGAGACAGATTTTCAGAGAGAATATATTTCACAGAGTGAAAGATCTTAAATAAACAACTTTTTAAACAAACTATAAAAAGAAAAACAAATTGCAAAATTGGCATAATTTAAAAAATCATAAATATCAAAGTAGAAATAAAACAGATACTAGAAAAACAAATTATCAGTGAAACTAAGAAATGCTTTTTTAAAAAGGTAAAAAAATAAAAAATAGTTCATCTAAACTAAGAATGAAAGAAAGAAGACTTAAACAAAATCAGGAATGAAAGTAGTAACATTATATACCTTGGAAATACAAAAGATGATGAGACTATTATGAGTAACTAAATGTCACCAAATTGGATAATCTAGAGAAAATGGATAAATTTCTTGATACATACAATCTAACAAGACTGAACTGAAAGAAACAGAAAATCTGAACAGAAACTATCAAGAAAAGATTTAATCAGTAATAAAAAGGTCTCTCATTAAAAAATAGCCCAGGACCCAATTACTTCACTGCTGAATTTTATCAAAAGCTAAAGAGGAACTAACGCCAATCATTCTCAGTCTCTTAAAAAAAAAAAAAAAAAAAAAAAACTGAAGAGGGAATAATTCAAAACTTTTTTACAAGGCCAGAATTATCCTAATATCAAAACCAGACATGGATATTACAAAAAATAAAAGTACAGGCCAATATCCCTAAAATGGATGAAAAATTCTTTAACAAAACACTAGCAAACCAAATTTAACAACACATTAAAAGTATCATTCACTATGACCACATGGGATTTAACCCAGTGATCCAAAGATATTTTAACATAACTAAATCTATAAATGGGATATACCATATTAACAAAATGAAACATAAAAATCATATGATCATCTTAATAGATGCAGAGAAAAAAATTGACAAAATTTATCATTATTTCATGGTAAAAAGGCTTATATTAGGTATAGAAGAAACATACCTCAACATAACAAAGGTCAGCTTCAAGAAACTCACAGGTAACATGAAACTGGTGAAAAGTTGAAAGTGTTTCCTCTAAGACCAGGAACAAGACAGAGATGCCTACTCTGCCAATTCTATTTGACATAGTAATAGAAGTCCTAGTCAAAGAAATCAGGAAAGTAAAAGAAATAAAAGGCATTAAATTGGAAAGTATAAAGTTAAATAGTCCTTGTTTCAGGTGACATAATTACATATAAAATACACTAAAGATTCCACTAAAAAATGTTTAGAACTAATACACAAATCTGGGAAAATTGCAGGATAAACATTAACATCCCCGAATCAGTGATGTTTCTATAAACTAACAACAAACTCCACCTCCCCAAAAACAATCAAATAATCAATACCAGCTAAAATAGCTATAAAAAAATAAATAACACACTTAGAAAATAATCAACCAAAAAAGTGAAAGACCTCTATACTGAAAACTATAAGACGTAAGTGAACAAAACTGAAAAAGACTCAGATAAATGGGAAGTTATCCCACATTAATGGATTGGAATATTGTAAAAGTGTCCACAGTGCCCCAAATGATCTACAAATTCAACACAAACCCTATCAATATCCCAATGTCATTTTTCACAGAAATTGAAAAAATATCCCCAAGTTCATATGGAACCATGAAAGACTATAAGTAGCAATCTTCAGTGAAATAAGCAAAGCAGGAACATCACACTACTTGACTTCAAACTATACTACAAAGCAACAGAAACCAAAATAGCCTGGTAGTGGCATAAAAAGAGACACATAAACCAATGGAATAGAATAGAAGCTGCAGAAATAAATTCATAAATTTATAATCAATTGATTTACAATACATTGATGAGAACACACAATAGAGAAAGAACAATATCTTCAATAAATAGTGCTACTGCTGGATATTCACATGTGAAAGAATACTACTAGACATTCTTTTCACATCATAAACAAAAACCAACTCAAAATGCCTTAAAGGCTTAAACATAAGACCTAAAATTGTAAGACTACAAGAAGAAAACAAAAGGAAAAACTCCATGCAATTGATCTGAGCAATGATATTTTTGAATAGGAAACAAAACTCACAAACAATGAAAGCAAAAATAGACAAATGAGTTAGCATCAACCTAAAAACTTCTGCACAGCCAACATAAAAAAGAGTGATGAGGCAAGGCACAGAATGAGAGACAATATCTGCACAACATACATTTGATAAGGGTTAATATTTAAAATATACAAGAAACTCAATAGTAAGAAAACAACCTGATTTTAAAACTGGGCAAAAGATGTGACTAGATATTTCTCAAAAGAACACATATTAATCACTCACAGATACATGAAGAAATCATCAACATCTTTAGTCATCAGGTAAATGCAAATTAAATCTCCAGTGAGAAATCACCTCAGAACTGTTAAAATGGCAATGATAGATAGATAGATAGATGATAGATAGATAGATAGATAGATAGATAGATAGATAGATAGATAGATCATAGAGGATAGATAACAAATGTTAGTGAGGATGTAGAGAAAAGTAAACCCTTGAACAGTGTTGGTGGGGGTATAAATTAGCACACCCATTTTGGAAAATTGTATGGGGATTACTAGAAAACTAAAAATATCACTATTATATGATTCAGCAATGTGACTACCAGTTATATATCTAAGGGAAATGAAATTAATATATCAAAGATATCTTCACTCCCATGTGTACTGCAGCATTATTTTTAACAACAAAGATATGGAATCAGTTTAACTGTCTATCAATGAATGAATAAAGAAAACATGGTATACATACATAATGGAATACTGTTCAGTCATAAAAATAAATACAATCCTGTTATTTCTGACAGCATGGATAAACATTGAGGACATTATATTAAGTGAAATAAACCAGGCCCAGGATGATAAATGCAAATCCCCAAGTATATGAGAAATTTTAAAAGTTAAACTTAGAAGTAGG